AGCAGCACAGCTAACAGTCCTGAATGCTTTCTTCATGCCAGGCACTGCACAAAGAGTGTTGTGTCATTATTACTTTTATTTCATAGATACAGGAGCTGAAGCAAAGAGAAGTTAACAGTGAGACAGAATCTTACAGCTGCTTAAACTGCACGTTTAACAACGACTTGTATTTAGAAAGTATATTGGCCATAATTTTCCATTTTTGCATTGCTATACAGCTACATGTTATTTGGTTCATTAGTGGCAAAAAGGCTGATGTAATCTAAAATTAATTTTGGCTGCTGCTTATAAATCATGCTGTGCTTGTCGTTTTTAATATAAAAGTGCAGAATTTTCATAAATTTAAAAAGAATCATCTTATAGAGTGAGTTGGTTTTAATTTCCATACAATTGGAACTACCAAATAATCAATCACATTTGCCTTAACAGATCCCACACCTTTCATTTCTACATTGATGCTCCTTACATTGAGCTTAATCATGACTAGTATGCTGTTTGTGGCAGACTCCAAATTAATTGATGACTAAGCTTTTGTTTAAAATTAGATACCAAGTTTTAATAATTAGGCTTAAACGTGTAGGCTGATAGAAAAGTTCAGTGTAATAACTGTATTTCTTCTGAAAAGGGAACTTTCTTTCACAATAAGTTCACATTTGTTACTCTTACTAGAAACATTTAATACAAGATAAGCAGATACAAGGTTTTACAACATAGGCCAGCCCCAGAGTCAGGTGTGGAAGAGTGCAAAAGGGCTGTCTGTACGCTGGAGATCTGAAGGATCAGGTCAAAAGCCTGGCGCTCACTGCATTCGCCTCTGAGAGTCCATGTCAGGAGGCTGCAGGATCTGCGCCAGACGCCAAGAGAGGATGTCCAAGGTAAAGGTGAAGACTGGAACTCCTCAGAAGAAGAAGCGGCCTTCCTCCTTCCTTTCCCTTTTTATTCCATTCAGCTGGCAAGCCTGTTGTTTGGTGCCACTCACACCCAGTGAGTTTGGTAAATCCCTTCAGCCACACCCTGAGCTATGTGATCCATTTTAGTTTCGTGTTTCTTACTCAAGTGGACACAATCAATTAACTATCACAGAACTTATATCAAGGGCCAGAAAAAGTGATTGTAAAATGTTGTTTATATTAATAAAATAAAAAATTTGACCTCATTCTTTATCTTTTTTATTGCTTATCATTAATTCTTACACAAAATTACCCCTCAACTTTCAAATTGTCAGTAATAATTTTTCCTTAATACACCCTGCAAACATTGACCCATTGTACTTCCTGTTGTATTTATTTGTGTCTTTTTATTGTTAGATGTTCAGTCCCTTAGGACAAGGAACCCTATGGTTAACATCCTTCTATTCTGCTTCCTTCTACCTTTCAAGCCGTAAATTGTTGCTGTCTATAGTTTGAATAGTTTGAAGTGTGGCAGGAGTGAAATAAAGTGTGCAGACCAAATTGTTGAAACTTGTCCCACCCCAGAGATAGCAGACTGGCCCAGACAGTGCAGTAGGTCGACGAGAGAAAGAAAAGAAAAATAATGGTCTGTGTAATAAATGACTAGACCTGATCTTCAGGTCACTGGGCTAGATGCACAGCTGTCTCTTTTTCTTTCTGACTTTATTAACATATAACTGACAAAGGAAAATTATGTATGTTTATGGTGTACAATGTGATGTTTTAATTTGTTTATGCATGTGAAATGAAGCTAATTAACACATGCATCACTACACATTTTCTTTTTATGGTAAGAACCTGTAAGATCTCTTCAGCAATTTTCAAGCACATACAACTGAAATACAGTACTGTTATATTGCTAATGCATTTTAATGCATGTAACTGTAGTCACTATAAGATCTCCTTGTCGTCCTAATTGAAATCTTATATCCCTTGAGCAAATCTTCCTATCTACGCCATTCCCTTCTCACTTTGAGCCCTCCTGGCAACTATCACTCTACCCTGCTTCAGTCTGTGAGCTCAAGTTTTTAAGAAGGAAAATGTAAATATTTGTCAGGGTTCTCCTTTGTAGTAATGAGTAGCTTCATAGTCTTGATATGTTATTGCTTATTGTTCTGATGACTCACTTATCAAACCTCTTGATTATGGTCCTAGTAATTAAGGACTAATGTAAAATAGGATCAGATTTTATCTGATTGAAAAACAAATAGAATGCAATAGATCTTTTCAGACGTGCACCTCTGGACTCACCAGCAGCATTTTTTCTGTTCTGTGTTGTTTGTCTTATTATAAGTATATCCTCTTCACTATAAAAAAAAAAAGTTAAGTGTTGTAGTGCTTAATGGTGAGAGGAGACGACTGAGCAGAGAAACTGTACTGTGGTCAGTCCCTCCATGCAGTGACCTTGCCAGTTTTCATCTGAGTTCGTCATTCTGAAGCAACTGGGTCAACTCCAAATGGCAGTACCTCCTCATACTAAGTATTAACACTGGCTTTGGTAAATGAAATTAAAACATCTGTGACTCTAATTTGTACTTCTCTAAAAATTCGAGCTGAAATCTATCGGAATTTTAGGCTACAACCTAAAATTTAGGATGCCCAACTTTTCTCTACACTGCTGTGCCTGTATTTCCTGTGCCTTCCCTTGTCTGCTAGCTGGCCACCTCTGCTGTCTCTCCAGTGGTATTTGTCTTTCATACTCCCTCTTCCTTGGTTCTTGCTGTTTAGGGAACATAGATGATTTGTTGTTATTGTTCATTATTACTTTCTCTCTACTCGTATATTTCCCTAACACATATTTTTTCTCCTTTTCATGTCTTTTTAAATTTATTTCAAGATTGCTATTGTCTCTGACTAAATGCCTTTCTTGTTACCTTATTCTCTGGAGAGAATCTGCATTATATAAAGTAAATCACTGCTGGTTAAGTGGATGTTGGCTTCCAGAAGGCAAAACAAGCGTCCTCATTTTCCTTGCTCTTGCCCCTATCCTGAATGACATAATCTTTGTTTTTGCATTACTGTTGGCTTTTTGCCTTCTTCTTTCATATATACCATGTAATGTTGCAAATGTCACTGATCAGATTCCTTCATGGGAAGTCCCAGCAAAGTAATCTTCACTTGCAAAGATCATGGGATCACAACAACTGTGTTAAGTCCATCTTTTTCTTTGTTTGAAAGCATTGCTTCTATATCGCATTGGGATTGTTGAGCAGCATTCTCCCCAGCAGAAGGAACTGCTGTTCTGTACCATGTCTGGCACACACTGGTATTCTACAGATACCAGCTCCCAGTGGTGCTAATGGTGATGGTAAGGGTGTGGGTGAGTATTTTGAAGGAAGAAGGACAGAAGTGGGAGGAGAACAGGCACCAGTGATGAGGCGGAGGTAGTGGGAGAGCATGAGCAGGAAGACGTGGCTGCTGGGCAGATGGGTTATAACGTGTTAGTCTGTTTTCATTCTTCTGCCTGTGGGTTTTAAAAGGAACCAGTAGTGCCACCCAAAGTGGCCCAAAAGCTGCACCAATAGTGGGCTCCATCAGATCATCCTGATGGTTTATTCTCCCCCGCTGCACCCTCCTGGTTATGGAAGGACAGACACTGATCCTCCAGGGCATTGCCTTCATTCACCCAACTCCAAGTGTAAGAAGCAAGGTGAGGTAGACAAGGGACAGTCGGATAGTAATGGGTACAGATTTAAATACTGAACATGTGCAGTCTTACTTAATTCTCACCAGCACTCTCTGAGACAAATACTCTGTTAGAGGCACACAGAAGACAGGGAGGCCGCAGTCCTGTCGTGGCACCCCTGTCCTTTGCTGTTATTGTTGCTCCTGTTAAAAAACAGGCAAAACAATGGAAACACTGTTTGTATTGTTATTATTTATTTGCTGGTATTATTAAAGCAGTAAAAGGAAGACTTTGGTCTAAATGTGTGGCAAAGAAGTTTTTCATTGCATTGTGATTGCGTTTTATTTTTAGGGAGTGTCATAATGCTGTAAAGTAGTGGTTGGAATAAAAACTTACATATAGCAAATACATGAGTGATAAGTATTGGTTGGATTGAACATTTTTAAAGGACAGATTTATCATCTTGACATCACCCACCAGATTCATTTTTAAATTGAGTTCAAGTAAATGATGACAGTGTTTTTAAAAATAAATTACTTTTGACTAGCTCATTTTCTATTGCTAATATGTGTGAGCGACTTCTTTGTCTTGTCTTAAAACAAGAGATAAAAGGACAAGGGAATTAAAAGCTGAACAAGAAGTAGTGTCTTTGCCATATAGACACAAACATTCATAAAGATGACAGTAATTTCTTTTTTGTAGCTCTTGCCTGAAAATTGGGAAAATGATATATGAAAAAGCGTACCCCACTGTGATAATGTCACTATAATTGGGATAAAAAAGGAAAACAGATAATTTTACTATTTCGCTGACTATAGTCCCTTTGTTTGTCAAACTCTCCTCAGTAGAAAATAATACTTCATGAATTTCTGTATATAATAAGAATGTAATTCAGGTTTTGTTATAATTGCCTTTATTGCTTACATTTCAAATAATAAATTTCCATCACTATCCTTAAAATTCTTGAATTATATTTTAAGATTTATGTTCTTGCTTCTGATATTTGATAGATCATTATTCACAAGCCTAAAGAGTCAGATGAAAGTTACAATTCCAGTTTTCATGTCATTGTCTTCCAGGATCAAGTGCACATTGTATGTTGTTGGAAGGTGTTTTGGTGTAGGGGTGAGGTCCATCCAGCTGGGGGTGAAGGGGAGACCTTGGGGACTCAAGCCAGGCTTCCCCCTCTTAGCATTCTGCTCAAGTTTCTCCAGTTGCCATGAGCTTCCTTATAAATGGGAAAACTCTAGAGGCGGGAAAGCATTGTCTATCTATTATTCCTGCAGTTTCTAGTAATTTTGTGAGAACACTAACCCTCAATTTAAAACTGCTACAGAAATTTGGGCTTGGCGGAGCCATCGAGGTCCTGTTCATGCTATTTCTTTCTACTTGGTTGTAATGTGGGTGTCTTTTGTTGGTTTTAGGGTTAGCGGTTTCCCTCCAGCTCTTGCATGGGGACATTGAACAGATTAGAAGAGAATACTCATCAGTGTTTTCTCATGGAGTGTCCATAACAAGGAAGTTGGGTTTTTCTAATATTATCATGCCAGGTAAGTGACTTTGGGGTGGAACAAAATGATGACATATGAGTATCTTATCTATTTTGGACATTTGAGGAGTTTTTCAAATTTTCACCTCTGAAGAGTTCCACAGGAGCCACTCCGAAGGATGAACTGAGGTATGTGATAATAAGAGAAAGATCTTTATGTTCTCATTATCTTAATGTGGGTGACTTGTGGCAGCCAGGGCTTCATTGAGTAATGGCTGTAATAACAACAAAAACTGACGCAGCATTCAGGAAATATTTTACCCTTTATTGAAAAACGTCAGTCTCTTAGAGTGTTTTTCCTTGTAGATTTTGATAAGAACACTTACTGAACCACAGCTGGCCTGTGCCATGGGATTTTTTCATTGTGAATATGTATCTATGTATGTAAAGAAGCAGTTATGTGAAAATACCATGTTTTTCAATACCTTTTTGAGACTTATTTGTGTACAGTATATGATTCAGATTTATATTAGCACCTAAAAAAGACTCCCTAAAAGCATTTGTTTTGTAAGTGGAAAAAGTGGGGATGAAAGAGAGTCACCTTGAAGACCCAGTGCCAGGTTTATTGAAACTGATAAATTTGGCAGTGAAACAAGGATTTCCAAGCCTAGCCCTGTGTAATCTCACAGTAGTTTAGGCTTCACAGAGTACTTTTATGCACAGCCTGAGGTGCTGGGCGAGAATGGTGGGGTCTGCGGGAGAGGAAGGAGCAGGCATTGCTGGAGCATCAGCGTGCTACAAGGGACCCGGAGTGAAAGGATTGACTTCTTAATCCTGCAGATATCTTTTAGGGCTTTCTGTGGGCCAAGATGTGATTCCAGGTACTGAGGATACAGTAGTGAACCCAACAGAAAAGAAATCTCCCTCTGGAGCTGGCTGTCCCATGAGTCAGGTGATAATAAGTGTCTCAGTGAAATACATGTGTTCAAAGACGACAGACGCTGAGCTAAGGACGGGTTTGGTGATGCCAGAAGTGGTAGTGGTTTGAGGGATTGAAATTGTGACCAGATAAGAAATAGATGAGAAGGAAGTGAGGAAGCCACTGGGCAGGAGCATTCCAGGCAAAGGACACGGGTGCAAGGGGCCTGAGGCAGGGCAACACCAGGAAAACCAGCTTGGCTGGAGTAGAGCATGGCAGGGAGAGTGGGATGGTGCCTTTTTGATAATCTTTATTCAGATGGAGGAAGGGAACAAGTAGAGAGTTTCAGACAGAGGTGTGACATAATGATTTGCACAGTCACTTGAGTCGCCCTGGTTGCTGTGTGATGATGGGACAGGATAGAGGCAGGGAGACCAGAGCAGAGGCTTTGGAAGGTAATTCAGGGAGCCTAACTATGGCTTGAGACAAGGTATTAGCAGTGGAGCAGATGGGAACCCAGCCTGTTGAAACCCTCGGAGGGTTATAGTCCTGGGAAGACTCCAGAGAGAACCAGAGGAGCTACAGAATCCTTTTCTTACTGATGATCTCCTGAAGGTGTAACCTGGCCAGCACCTTCAAAGCTAAAGGTTCCAGGCCCATATCTCCCAAGTCATTGTCCTCTGTGCTATGGTAATGCAAGCCCTGCTCCCTTATGGAGAAAGAATGTGGTCCTAGCCGGCAGCTCCACCTCCCAGCTTTGACTTTCTCAGCTTCAAAGTCAGGCCTCCAAATCTTACCTCTGAAGTGGACTAAGCTTGTGAATCATTGTGGGTTACATTTTGTAAAATTTATGTGACATAGTTTATTCTTCTTGTCACAAACCAAGGAAGTAAGTTTTATCAGCCACCAGATTTTATTACAAAAGGACCTCTTCCATAGGAATGCAGCTTCAGACCGTTTGTCTGTTAGATGATGACAAGTAGGGTGTTAAGTAGTGGCTTTCCATGCTTCATATCTCTCATCCACAACCAAGAAAAGGGAGGAAAAGTAGACCAAATAAAGTAGTCTGAAGTTGTTGACAGTATTTTTAAAAAGTAAAATTGATACGAAATCAGTCTAACAGATCGTAACTCCCAGACTGTTAGATGTCAGATTTGCTGAGTGTGTGGTCTCATAGCGTTGAGGAATGAAGTTATGAACCAAAGGAGAAAGTTAGGAGAGTTTTATTGGAAAAAAGGAGCGAAGAATGACTCCCAGATTTCTAGCAGGTATCTGGAGTGGGTGTCCACTGAAACCCTTTTTCAGGGGTAATTTATACAGCAAAGTCACAACATGGGTACAATGTGGGCCAAAGTACCATCAACTTTTAGGGTTATAAGTACTATATGGCCGCTTGGCTCATGATCCAGTAGGAAACAAGCATTGCAAGAGGGTATGTGGAAAGAACAAAGGCATTTTGGGGAAGGGTACCTATGTGTCTGGTGCCTTACTGGGCCCCCTGGACCAGGTGGTGCTAATATGGTATAATCTCAAGTCGCTGTTTATTTCCAGGGAGGCGTGCAGGCCTAGGTCTGTTCACAATCCCGGTGTTTTATTTACTTATTTATTGTTTATTTATTAGCTGACTTCCTTGAGGGCCCACTTCCTCTCTGACTGCGTATCTAATTCAGCTGTCTATGATAAGATGCTCTACAATACTGTTTAAATCCCTCCTATAAAAGCAAGCAAAGGCCCCTGGCACAGCCATGAGATTCGATGGGAGGTCTGCCACAAATGAGGGTCTAAAATGACCACATTGTCCACTGTGCCGTGTCATGGTCTCTTGGAGTTTGTTTATGTAGGGGAGCCTGAGAAAACAGCCTGGAAGTTTCCCTGAGATGACCTGGCTTGGCCCGGTGACCCAGTCTGCCCCAGCAGCTCATGCTATGCTTGCTGAAAATGACTGTTTATAGATCTGTTTACTTGGTGGCTTGCTATTCATAGCTCTTGTAACCATTCATTATTTCCTTCAGTTGCTATAAATAACTGGTATTTCCTCTTCAACAAAGGACAAAAAATTTCATCCCACTGGGAAGCAAATTGATGGGCAAATCTAATATAAAAAACATATTTTAGAGCGGAACGCAGCCAGCTGCTAGAAGAATTCCTCGTCTTGGTCTCTGGGCAGTGTCACTGTGAAATGGAAAACTCTAAAGCAAGATGACACTTCACTGGCCAAGTAATTATCTGGGAGGTGCCATGCTCAAGCAGCTTTTGTCTGGCTTAATGATGGAAATGAGCTTTCCAGGAGTGAGACTTGCTTTGGTCCCTGTCTGGCACCACGTGATGCCAGGTTCATCCTGCCCAGGAAAACTACTCTTTTTGACACAGGTCTGCTTTGCTAGGCATTGGAAAAGAATTATTAAATGACTCTTTGTTCTCTTTCTCCTCTCCTTTTCTGCTTAGTCTTTCTTCCCAGTTAGATGGAGAAAGGAGAGTAAACAACGGAAAGCAAATTTAATCCTCCCTGGAAGTTTTTCCATTGGGAAACACATAGTCATTGTTCTGCTTTCTTTTGTTGTTTTCAGACTCATCAGTTACTTCTCATGAGTAAGTGAAATTTTGAGCTGAGAAATGTTTGTGAATAACATTTCTGGTCATTGTGATAGCTTGCGAGCACATTTTCCCCCGATTTTGTAGACTTGTCCTTCTGTAGTGTGCTGGTAGGGGTTGGGACAGATGAGACAAAGGCTTATTCCAGGAGGACTAAGTTCTCCCACGTGGTCTCTGCAGTGTGAATTATCTGTGCTGTTGATGTGGAGAATACGTAAGACCGTCTTTAAGGATTCCAAGATATAACAGTGCTTAACTCTTTGAAATGGGAAATCATGAAGACAGACTCTTCTCTTTGTTTGCTGTTGTGTGGGCAGATCTCTAGGTTATCACCTGGTGTGAAGAAAGGATCTGGCTTTGCTTTTGAGCTGTCATAAAGTCTCTTCAGTCCTTCTCTGGACTGAGAGAATTCAGCATTTTATGTCTTAAGGCATCATTTCCAACTAAGAAAAGCCATTTTCTGAGAAGCTCTGTCTCTATGATCTACAAGCCATATAAGTCTGAAGGCATTTCTCTGGTCTGCTCTTTGAATCTGTGAGCAGGTCTGCAGCAAAAATATTTAAATCACCGCTCTCCCTTAGAAATATAAGTGAGCCGCAAGTGTAATTTATAAGTTACTAGTAGCTGCTTTATTTAAAGTGAAAAACAGAGGTGAAGTTAATTTTGAGAGTGCATGTTATTTATCCCAATACATTCAAAATAGTATCTTGATAAATAATCCCTATGAACAGTTTCTAATGAGTTATTTTCACTGTTTTCAGCCTCTGTCTTGGAGAGCTGGTGAGCATTGTGCATTTACAGCCAAGTGCTCAGTTGCCACATGTGTCACCAGTTACCGTACTGGACGACCTCCCCCTAAATGGCCTAACAGGCTGTGCAAAGCAATCCTACGCCATTGCTGAGTATCAGAAAGGTCTTGTTTCCATGCACAAAGCATCTCAGAGCAAAGCTGACTGATGTGGTGGGGAGGTCATGGAAGGCCTGACTGCCCACCTCTCATCTTGAACATCCAGTCTTACTCTTAAATTTAGGATTCTTTCTAGACAGAACTTTGTCTCCATTGTGATGATGTCCCTGCCTATGCCTTATTCCCTTGGTTGGCTTGCTCATAACCAACATAGCAGTTGCATACACTGTCGCTGTTAGGAAGCTTGTCGTGAATGCCTTCTGGTATTTTTAGTGGGTCTTTGAAGCTTGTAATGCTAAAAGGATTATGTGGAAACAGCACAGTAAGAAGAGGAAGGAGGAGAACTGAGATTTGGGAGCTAGTTTTGATACTGACCTCATGATGTACTGAAATTTTTTTGCAAGTAATGTGTCTCAGTAATGAATCCTAGGGGTGAGATGTAATAGGATGTCTGCCTCATGTTTCAGGAGACAGATAGTTTCATTCTTTTAAATATAAATATTGTTCTTTAGTACTTATGATAGAGAAATGCACATTAACAGATGGAGTTAGTCCACAGGCTATCCATCTTGGAATAGATAGTAAATAGTATGATATGACTTAAACACCCATAAATATAGTATTTAATCTAAGTAACATTCTT